AAGAGCCACAAAGATGATTAGGGAACTGGAGGCTAAAACATATGAAGAACGGTTGCAGGAACTGGGCATGTCTAGTTTAGTGAAAAAAAGGACTAGTGGAGACATGATAGCAGTGTTCCAATATCTCAGGGTCTGCCCCAAAGAAGAGGGAGTCAAGCTATTCTCCGAAGAAGCAATGGGTGGAAACTAATCAAGGAGAGAAGCAACTTAGAAGTAAGGAGAAATTTCCCGACAGTTAGAACAATTAATTAAACTTGCCTCCAGAAGTTGTGAATGCTCCAACAATAGAACTTTTTAAGAAGAGCTTGAATAGCCATTTATCTGAAATGCTATAGGGTTTTCTGCCTAAGGAGTGGGGTTAAACTAGAAGACCTCTAAGGTCCGTCCCAACTCTGGTATTTTATTCTATTTTAAGTAAGCAGACAATTTCTTTTGTATGGAAGTAGGGGAGGGAGGGAGAGAGTGCTGCAGTGAAAAACCTGCAGCCTATGAAAAATATATCCGATCCTCCCCACCTTTAGATGCTCATTTGGGATGGCATATTGTTTCATCAATTACTAGCTTCTCTTATTTAACATATTAATCATCCTATGTTCTGGAGATCATCAACAAAGTTCTCCAGCCACTTCAAATTCCTTCTCTGAGAGCGCTCAACTTAAGAGGATGTGTACAAAGCTAAATCACCAACCACGTGAAATCGGTGCAATTCATTAATAAATTAACGTGAGACAGATTTCATCAGTTATGACAACTCTGAGAAGAGATGCTCTCTTAAATCACTGCTAGGTTCTGTTGTAGGTATTCAAACCCATCATTTATGTACACTGATTTACTTATGTACACTGAGAGCATCCGCACCAAAGACAAATTCCTTGTGTGTCCAATCACACTTGGCCAATAAAGAATTCTGTTCTGTTCTCTTCTCTTCTAAATATGAAGACTTACGTTGTTGATGGCAGTGGATGCAGACAATTTGGCTGAACGGCACAATCAAGGCGTAGTCCCAGTAGATGCTGAAAACAAGATAAGAATGACACTGAAGTGTGACAACAGTTGAAAGGAGAAGGGGTTTAAACATAGGCAAAGCAACCATCTATCAAGAAAACTGTAGTTTGGATTCGTGCATAGAAAACTGGACTTTAAGGCACTAAACAACACCATTGGATCATAGAATCATATTCAATGACAACAACGATGAAGATGGCCCTTAATCCATCTAGTCTTTGAAGTGCAGCATTGTTTACATGAAAAAAGTCAGGTACTAGATTTACAGCCAGTCACGATGTATTCAAGAAGTCTTACAATACAATGAGTTTTAACATATGGCAGTTATTATTTGATAAAATTCTTGCAACCTGTATGACCTGTAACTTGTCTTCACCACTTTCTCCCCTTTCAGCTCCCCTGGCATCATTCTATTTTAAACCCTATGACAGTCTAGTCCTGTGTTTGTCCATCTTAGCAACTTTAAGATGGCTGGACTTCAACTCCCAGAATTCCCCAGCTGGGGACTTGAAGTCCAAACTTCTTAAAGATACCAAGGCTGAGAAACATTTGCAGCTGGCGAACCAAGCCGCACCTTGCAAAAGCATGTGGCTTTGAATAAAATTTGTGAATGAGAAACAGATTCCTGGTTATTTGCTACCACAGATTAACACAGCTTTCTTCCTACACTGTTGCTCTTGAGCAATTTAGAATTTGTGCCATATCCGTCATCGGATGTTGGCAATCATGTTGGTGATCCTATTTTATCAATAGCCGCCCCCTTGGTGCTACAAACTGATCCTCAGTGCCCGCCACCCAGTGGTGGAATTCAAATTTTTTTACTGCCATTTCTGTGGGTGTGGCTTGGTGGGCGTGGCTGGTCATGTGACCAGGCGGTTTGCACGACAGAAGGAAGATAATAACAGTAATTAATTGTTAATTAATTAATTGCAATTAATTGTTACAAAACTGTAACAATTAATTGCACATTTATTCAAAATCCAATTTAAAAACCTTTTTAGTTAATGTTAATTCAACAAAATTGTTGAACATGATCCAGTGATAACAGGTTTTCAAAGTCTGAACCTTAGTAACTAGTAACTTAGTAAACTCAGTAAAATTTAGCAACTACTTCACTGTTCTTAGTAGATGATAATTCCTGTGTAGATATTGAAAGAAGTAATCTCAGTAAGGTATTATCACAAAGCACAAAACTGCAACAGACATCATTAAGATATCACAAACTTACAAAAAAAGATTTTCTTGTAAGAAAATCTTCCTTCCTTCCTTCCCTCCTTCCTTCCTTCCTTCCTTCCTTCTTATATCTCTCTTTCCCTCTTTCTTCCTTTCTTTCCTCTTTTTCTTCCTTCTGTCCATTCTTTCTTTCTTGTGTGTCTCTCTTTCTTTTCTTCCTTTCTCTTCCTTCCTTCCTTCCTTCCTTCCTTTCTTCCTTCTTTCTTTCTTGTCTCTGTCTCCCACACTTACTTTCTCTTTCCTTCTTTCTCTTTCTTTCTCTCTCTTTCTTTCTCTCTCTTTTCTCTCTCTCTCCCTCTTCCTTCCTTTTATTCTCTCTTACTCTTTCGCTTTCTCTCTCTCTCTCTCTCTCTCTCACACACACACACACACATACCTTCCAGTTGGCGAAAATTTCTGTTTTGCCAGCTGAGAAGCTGGCAAAGAAGCCTCATTTTCCTTGCCACCTGCAGCTCTTAGAGGAAGAAGGATGAAGCGAAGCGAGTCCCGGGCCTCATCACTGCCTCCTTCCTCGAGAGCTTCCTCGAGAACTGGGGACAGCCAGCCTCTCCCATCACTGCACCCTTCACTTGCCTTTCACCCAGAGGATCTGCCAGTGGGGTGCCTGCCATTCCATTTCCTGAGAGAAGCTCGGGATAGACATGCAAACGGCCGCAACTCGAGGCTCCTGAGGAGGAAGCTGGACACCAGGGGTGGCAGTGGTGCCCATTGCTGCTCTTCTGCTGCTCTCGGTAATGCAGGCGTCTTGGAGAGCATTAACTTACAAGCGCACCGATTCCAGCAGCTGCGTTTTCCCTTGAAATTTGCTGTCCCAGCAACCCGAAGGGGACAATCTCCCAGCGGCATCTCAGGGGCTCCCACCCTTAGCTGCGAGGGAGTGAGGATGGCTGGGTGCAGTTTGGCACCTCCCGGCTCCCCTCAGATCATCGAGGGGCCTCGCGCGCCTGCTCGCTCACATGGCCTGCGTGCTCCAGCAGAAATGGGAAGCGCGGGGATCTTAATGTAGTAGGGCGGGGGAAGCTGGAGTGGGAGGTTAAATAAACAAATTTGGCTTTGCTTCCTTGCGTGGCAAGAGAGAAAGGTGCCTGAGACGCCGCTGGGAGAATGTCCCCTTCGGGTTGTCCCGTTACCGTCCCTCTGCTACCCCCCTTGCCTCTTAGCACCCCCCTAAGTCATACCCCCCCCCAGGGGGCGATACCACCCACTTTGGGAACCACTGGTCTGGAGGAATGTTGTCCATGAGGTCGCGATCAGTCGGACACGACTTCGCAACTAACAACAACAAAGGAGCACACCTAGGTGTCTTTTTCCTTGCTACCTTTATTTAATCTTTCACTTTAATCTTTCACCGCAAGCAAACCCCTGTTGCATTCCCTTACCTTTTCTCCAGTTCTGTATCTCCCAGGTTCCCGTTCATGAGCTGATTTGGTGTCCATTTCAGAGTTAGAGAATCAGAAGACTGATGAAGTGACAGATATCCTGGAATGGCCTCCATGTCATCTTTCTGTTACAAAAGTTACCCCATTTGTGATTTAAAAAAAAAACAAGACAGAAATATTGGACATTTGCTGAAGGTCAGGTAGTCCTTATAACCACAATTGAGCCCAAAATTTTAGTGGCTGAGCAAGACAGAGGTTACATGAATTTTGCCCCAATTGATAAGTGAATCATTGCAGTTGTTCAGTTAATAACACAGTTGTTGTGAATCTTAACATGCTCAAATTGATGACAGTTGCGATGTCCTAGGACAGTGTTTCTCAATCTTGGCGACTTTATGTCCTGTGGACTTCAACTCCCAGAATCCCCCAGCCAGCAGCTGGCTGGGGAATTCTGGGAGTTGAAGTCCACAGGACTTAAAGTCCCCAAGGTTGAGAAACACTGTCCTAGGACATCGCAACTGTCATCAATTTGAGCATGTTAAGATTCACAACAACTGTGTTATTAACTGAACAACTGCAATGATTCACTT